ATCTATATTAATTTGTTTATGTTTAGTAATAAGTACATTTATAAGTACAATTCTCTACTTATCTAACTTAAACTTAAATGTCATAAAAGAGATTAAATAAAGTTTTTCATATAATAAACCTTCAAAATCGATATTCAACAAATCATTCTTGGATAAATGGTTGTGGTTGTGATGCTAACGGGAATGAAAATAACAGTGGTGCTATTGGATTGTTAATGGTAAATTGGTTTAACGGTAAAGAATTATTGATCAAGATATTATTATGATTACTCATAAAAGATTCATTGAAAAGAGGTTCATAAAATATCTGCATTTAAATCATTATTATTATAAAAGGAAATTGATAAGATTCTTCAGCTTCATTTATCATAGGATGAAGAGTACCATCAATGGTTATTTTGAATTGGTGATAAAGGTACGATTATATTCGGTTGTTGAGATCGTATTGTTCAAAGAGGGCGACCTAACGATATGCGCTGCTTCTTGAAAAGGGAAATCGCTATTCATTGATGCAGACATGGGTAAAGGAAATGCGTATTTCTTTTGTTCGCGAAAAACCCATTTCTTGACGTTTGAGTCTTTTACATTTCTTAGCTTATATATATAATTAGGATATAAGCATTTGTGATTCTCATAAGTTATCTTCTCTAATATCTTAAAGGAATGCTTGACCCCGCTTGGTAAATTTTTCCACATCAGACTACACTCATAAGCCGTATTCTTGACTTCTTTTTTAACGTATTGATTAAGTAAACGTAAATGCGCTTCATAATCTCTTCCAGCTATTTTGCGGTCGTGATGGTTTTTCATAATCACCACGGTTTTTTTTCAGCTGGTTTCGTTAATTCTTCAATGGAAAGTGTTAATCGATAAAGCGTTTACTTAGAATTAACAGATCATTATAGCTTAAATAGGCGTAATTAGTACTAACGATGAAGTTAGACATTCTTTAAACAGCAAATTTATTAAAAAGGTAACTGTATTAACGCTGGCTTCGTGTATGTAGTGTGGCACATGTAATTTGTTTCTTGTGTAAGGGGGATTTTCCTTTTTTTGTGATATTCCGTTTTGAGGCGCATAAACCAATATCATGTGCTATTGCTCACTGAACAAGCTTTTTCAAAAATGTGTGAAGATCCATTTTTCCCATATATGACAATTATACGCATTTCCATATATGGGGATCCTTAAAGCAAGGTAGACGACATTTTTTTCAATTTTTTCTAGGAAACATTTAATTTTTTCAAAAATTTTGTTAGAAAACATTTTAGTATCTCTAATATGAACTATATGTAAAATCTAACTCCGAACATTTTTATTTAGTGACTTTGAAGTGGTTGTCATAATAAAATGTTGAGTTATTTACGATTTTCGATTTTTTAAATGTTTAAGTTACACATGAACTTGCGAATTCGATTGGTCCAATTTGGCAAACTTGAAATTTGATTGGCTCATCTCCTCGTGAACTTGCGAATTCGATTGGTCCAATTTGGCAAACTTGAATTTGATTGGCTCATCTCCTCGTGACTTACCTTGCTCCATATATGGGGGTATTTTTACTCCGGTTACCGTTTGTATAAAACCAAAGTCTTTTTGACTACGACGAACAAATTCCTTCAATTTGCACTTGATAAAATGACTAATTCCACTAATTACAAATTTCTAACTGATACTGAAATGCAAATTTTACAAAAATGCTCTTATCAATTAACACTTTCGATTGATGAATTAACAAAATCAGCAAAAAAACGCCTTAATTCTAACAATCCACCGAGACCACAAAACAGTTGGATTCTTTTCCGAAAAGATTACGAAGCAAATTTACGTCGTCATGCTCCTGACGTCAAACAAGAAGTTAAACGTACGGCTCAAGAGTGTAGTCTGATGTGGCAACGAATGTCTAGCGAGGTTAAACATTTCTTCAAAATACTGGAGAAAATAGCTTGTGAAAACCATAAACACATATATCCTAATTATAAGTATAAGCCTAAAATGCGAAAAAATTCAAACAGCAAAAAATTTATTTTTCGCGAACAAAGAAAATATTCATTTATTTCATCGTTTAAACCTAATTCAATGGGTATTAAGACATTGTCGTCCTCATTAACAAATCAAGTTATGAGTGATATCGTTTCGACAACCATCGATGCTAATTCCCCAACTCAACCTTCTACTATCAACAACGATGCTTCTATGATGCTTGTCACGAGTGAAGTCGATACAACATCAATTCGTTCTGAGATCATTTCAACAACCATCAATGCTCTTCCTACAATCAATATTAATTCTCAAACTCGCCCTTCTATAAACGACGAGGGAACTTCTTTATTGATTGGCAATGATGAAATCGATAATAATATGATGTCAAGTTATGTATTTGAGGATATGAATGCTATCGGAAATATTAACGTTAACAATAGAGCTGTTCCCAATTTAATAAACCTTCAACCACACCACTATGACATCGTTTCGACAACCATCGATACTCTTCCTATCAATTTACCGAATCTACCTTGTATGACGAACAACGATGCTGTTTATAGATGCGGGTGCATGTATACGGATAATATTGAAGTTAGTAATAGAAATCTTTCTATATGCGGGTGCATGTATATGGATAATATTAACGTTAGTAATAGAAATCTTTCTAATTCAACAAGTATCTTATCACATTATCGTAATATCGTTTCGACAAATGATATACTTCCTCTTATCATCAATGGTAATTCTCTAACTCAACCTTCAACGACCAACGAGGAAACTTCTTTATTGATAAGCAACGATGAAATCGACAATGACATATCTCGTTATGTATTTGAGGATATGAATGATCGGAAATATTAGTGTTAACTATAGAACTATTCCCAATTCAATAAACCTTCAACAACGCCACCATCATGACATCGTTCCGACAACCATCGATACGCCACCTCTTATTCTACCTTGTACGACCAACAACGCTGAATGCAAATAATTCAACAAACTTCCAGCCACATCATTATTATTTATCGTTATCTCACCGCTACAATTATGATAACGATACGACGAATCCTATTTCAATTTAACATATTCGAAATTAACAAAGTAATAGCATATCTTGTTCACCAAGATTATTCCACCAAGCCAAAAATAACTTCATATATAGGCACTTTTTGGCAATTCGTTTCTAATAACTTTTCTTCTAATTATTTTTTTCCGTAGTCTTTATTTAGTATATAGAAATCGACTCATTTAGATAGATTTATTCCTATTTATTTCTCTTTTTATTTTCCAACATTATTTAAAACACTAAATTTGTTTCACACATATTAGAATCTTTTTTGTTCTACCGTCAATAATACTGTCATTTTATTATATTTGTGTGGCTTGTTGCTCTGTTCTAGCTACCCTTCGATTATCTTGTTAGTTGTTCTGCCGGTTTATTTAATTATTTTCTAATTATTTTTCCGTAATCTTTATTTAATATATAGAAATCGACTGATTTAGATAGATTTATTCCTATTTATTTCTCTTTTTATTTTCCAACACTTTTTTCTTATATTTAAAACACTAAATGTTACGCACGCATATACGAATCTTATTTTACCTTTTTTGTTCCACCGCTAATAATACTGTCATTTTATTATATTTGTGTGACTTGTTGCTCTGTTCTAGCTACCCTTCGATTATTTTGTTAGTTGTTCTGCTTGGTTTTATTTAATTATTTCGTTCTGTTTTTTGCTAGCATTAGTTTTTTTTTAATAAAACCGTGACCTTCAAGAAAACTTTGCCAAATGTCAACAAACCATAACGATCGAATCGTTAAAAACATGTATTGATGTTAACGATAATGTTTTTCTTGTAAACACTTCTTTTTAAGCTTTACCAAATTTCTGAAGACAGTCTTTTTTCTCCATTATGCATTAATATGAATAACCTTAGAAGGAGTTTTTATCGAATTTCTGAATGATTCCTTCTCGTAAATTTTTTATTTTCCATAAATTTTAATATTAACTTAATAGTTGCTGCAAATACAATCTTCAAACTAATGATGAAAATGCCAATATTACCGAATCTTTAACACCAGATTGAAGCACTAATGATGTTCAAACTTCACATCTGTATCAATAAATCATTAAAAAGCTGAAATCTTAAGCTTTCAAATGACAAAATATGATGTGAAACTTAACCAATGTTTGCAGAAATTACTAACTCGTGGATTTTGAACGTGGTGAGATAGTTGGTGTTTGGAAGCATAGAAGAAATTCGAAAAACCCAAAACTACAATTCATAACGTCATAAATTTAGAGTGCAGGACATTTAAAGACGCCAATCACGTGAATTGTTCCATTTTTTGAAACAGTAAAAAATGGGTTTTTTTTACCCAGAACGTCACGTGATAGTCAAGAACACGTAACTCATAATGACCAATCAGTAGATCATAGATCACATTATTTGTCCCACTACCAGATGGTTCAGTAAAACACTGGCGCAGTTAATATTGCCTTCAAAACATGCATAATTTCCTGCCATTCATCAAGACTTTGGTATTTTATCCGAACAATAAAATACTATATTTCCTCACGGTCACGCATTTTTTGCTTCTTTTTTTACTCATTGTAAGTTTTTAGAAATTGATTCACAATATAGAATGTCTTAGAACTGCATATGTTTCGCCGCATATTAAAGTTATATTCCATGTATTGTGAACTACAGCTCGAGTCACTTAGTCTCAACTACTTAAACTAATAAAATTCAAAGTACTACTAATCTATTAATTTAAATATTATTGAATTATAATTATCATATTTTTAAATATAAATACTTAGTTAATAAATCTATGATGAGTTTGTAAATTTTTTATTACAAATTTTTACAAAATAAAAAGTTATAAGCATTTAAAATTATAATTAAATTATTAAGCATGATAGTTATAAAAATTTTATATCTGATAATCAAGTAATTAAATTACTTGAGGTTCAGTTACAAAATGAATCTTATCACAACAACAAAAAATAAAAATGACAGCAATACTTTATTATCTACGACTTCAGCAATATAATGATTTTAAGCTTAATAATGGTTTAGCAATTGCACATCAGTTTAAAAAAGGAGAATATTTGCTTGGTGTATTCGTTATTAGGTTACACTTTTGAAGAATGGAGAAGAAATTCCATATTCAAAATATGGCAAATATCCTAAAATATCTTCTCTTTTTAATGATGAAGATATTCAGTTACGACTTTGGGAATATGTAACCAATAACAAGTTCAAGTTCACTGCATCAGATTTTATTTATTACATTTCAAAAGAAAATTTTTGAGAATTGAAAAAGAAAAAAAAATTAGGTAAGTAATTTAATTTTAGATGAATTTTTATTAGTTATTAATATTTTAATATTTTAATTTTTGGAGTGTGTCAACTGTTCGAAGATGGCTTAAAAAAATGGGATATAAGAAGAGTATTCTTAAATAAAATGGAAGAGTATGTATTAAATTTTGTTTTTTATTTCACAATTATTATTTTAATTATATATTAGATATCAACATTTGATACTGAGCTTCACAGGAGAGGATTGAGCAATTCAAATTAATCCTGAATTAGTTGATGGAGAATATATGCACATATTCGTTACTCATGATGAAACTAGTTTTCATGCTAATGATGGATAAAAATCTAGCTGAGGTCCTGTAGGAGAACAATCCTTGCGAAAAAAAGAACAAGGTCGTGCAATTCATGTTAGTGATTTTGTTTGTGAGACAATTGGACGGTTAAAATTGAATATCAAAGAAAAAAGTGTTTCCCTGAACTACCAGATGAAGCTCGAGTTATTATTTATCCTGGCACAAATCACGATGGTTGGTGGGATGTGAAACAACTTGTTGAGCAGGTAATTGATATGGTTTAAATTAATATATATTTTTTATGCTGGAGGGAAGGATTTTAATGGGAAAAGTTTAATAATCTTTCGATGATGGTACAGGTTTAATTTATTTGATTTTATTTATTTTTTGGTGAGATACCAAAAAACAACAAGTTATTTATCTACAGATAATCACCCGTGCAATTCCAATTTTTGAAGCTATCCATCTTGGTGGCATTGCAGTTTTCGCATTCGATAACTCTACATCACATGGTACGATTTTTACTGATGCCCTTAATGTTCACGACCTCGTATGCGCAACTCTACCTTTAATGGACAAACACAAATGATGGTTTATCCGCCTGACCATCCTAATGAAAAGCTTCGCGATAAGCCCAAAGGAATGCATGCAATTCTTGAAGAAAGAGGTTTATTACCAAACAATATAAAAATCAATGGAGACTGCAAGAACAAGGATTTGGCATCAATTACCTGTTGCGTGCGTCACATGCTCGCAGCTCAATCAGATTTTCAAATGCAAAGAACCATTCTTGAAGAAATTATTGAGGCGCGTGGTCACAAAGTCAATTTTTCACTGTGAATTGAATTTTATTGAAATGTATTGGGGGACTGCGAAGGGATATGCAAGAAAAAAGTGTGATTACTCATAGAATGGCTTACAAAAGATTGTTCCAGAAGCTCTGGACTCTGCGACCATCAAGGCAATCCGTGGCTTTGCAAGTCAAACCTATCGATATATGGAATGCTACAGAAAAGGTTTTAATGCCAAACAGGCAAATTACGCTCTTAAAAAATACAAACGACATCGAGTTATCCCGAATAATATTTTAGATGAGCTTTTGGCGGACGAACCCTCGAGTAATAATTGCATTACATGATATTAAAATAGTTTTGACCCCCCTACAAAAATTAGCATATAATAAATAACCCCCCTATTTTCAAAAATTTTGCCGCAATACATGAGAGTGGTTGGGACTAAGTGACTCGAGCTGTAGGAAATTGTTTGTGACGCTAATTTCTAAACAAAAATGATTTTCAGAAAACAACCAATCGGCATACTTCATTTTAAATTGTAAAAAGTAAACATTTGTCGCCGCATTAAATAATCATACTTTTGCAAAATGTTCTTTTTCTCCAAAATTAAAAAGAAAATCCAGCCAATGCACTTGTGAACATTTTCTTAAAACAAAAGAAAAGGGGAAAGCCAACACATTACAATTTTTTCCCAAAGTTTAACTTAGAACATTAATGTTAAGATTCCTACATAGTTGACTCTCAAACAGTTTTGGACAGTTTGGACAAAAAATAATTATATTTTAATAAAGTTTTATCAATTAAGATCTATATCCATTTTCTAATCTCCAATTTAAGTTCTCTTCTATAAGTTTTAATTTTATATTCTTCTGAATATTTATTATCAGAGTTTATTTTACAAAGTAAATTAATAAATTTATCTGTATATTCTTCTATAATATTAGTTTGTTGCAAGATTTCAATCTTATCTTGCTATTAGACAATTCTTTTTCTAGTTTGAAAATAAGTAGTAAATTGATAACTGAAACTATATAATTAGTTATTATTATTATTTCAGACTATTAATTTGATGATATTATCTTTATTTTTTTTATCATATCATAAGATAGCAGTATCTTCTAGATATTCTTTAACTAGTTATATTTTTCTAGTAGCTGTGATTTCATTAGTCTAAGTGACAATATTAAAGTTTTTAAGTCATTTAGTTGAGTCTTGATCATTTTCTCTATATTTTCTAATAGGAATAATAATTTTTTTCATAGACTAGTTATGTTATTTAGCTATTCAGTTAATAAGAGCTTCAAGAGTAATAATGAGATTCTCTAAATTATTATTATTGTTTTATTAATCCATTTAATTATCTTTTTTTTTGATCTCTTGATTATTATTTTTTAAGTCTATCTGAATATTTTCTTCTGAACTGGAATAATTACTATTTTTTTCTGATTTTAATATTAATATAGTCTGAAAAAAAGATATTAATAAATCTTCTGAATTCTTGATTTCAGAATAATATCTATTAATATTACTATTATTAAATAAGATTCTTATCTGAATTTGTAAAGTGAAGTCTTAATAGATGAATCATTAGTAGAATTATTCAATTATATCAAGTTATTTTTCTTGAGTATTTATATAGTTAAAGATAAAAGTATTTACTAGTTGTACTATTTTTTTATTGAAAATAAGTAACATATATCTTAAATCAAGTTGAATTAATTCATAAAATAATAAATATATAATTTAATTAATTAATATTACTTCAATATTTTCTGTAAGCAAATGAAAAGTTCAAAATTATAAAAAAAAATTTGATTAAAGAGGATAATAATAGAAATAATAATATTGAGAGAGTATTCTAATAGAATAATTAAGATTTTGATATTTATAAATAATAATTAATAGATAATTCAATAAAAGAATAATAATTAATCATGAAAACTCAAAACTCAAAATATTTATTAATTATGAATAATAAAAGAAAGAATATAAAAGGAATATAAAAAGAATATATATAATAAATAATAGAAGAAAGAGTCTTTCTCTACAAAGAGGATATCAAAAATATATTATGATAAATTGATAAGTGAGTTTTTACTTGAATTTATCTTAATAATATTAAGTTAGGAGAGACTAAATTAATTAAAGGGTAAAGAGAGAAAAATTAGACTATATTTTCAATAATAATAAAGATTTCTAAGATCTGTGTCAATATTTACAGATATTATCTTTATAAAGAGAAAAATAAATAATAAAAAAATAAAATAAATCAAGAAAATTATAAAGATCAGTTAGTGAAGTTACTAATAATTAATATAATTCAAGACTTAAGATGATTAAATAGTAAAGTTACTATTAATCAAAAAAGATTATTACTAAAGAAAGAGATAAAAACTAAACTAAATAATAAAATAACTAAACAAAAAAGTATAACTTATTTATAATAAAGATCTTTTATTCTCAAAAATAATAAAATAAATAAAATAAAAGTATAACTTATTTATAGTAGAAATGATTAAATCAAAAGATATATTGATACTTATAGGTATAAAAGTATCTTTTTTTAATTTCTAATAATATATATATTTTTAGATTTATCTTATTCATCATATTGAAAACAAGCAGAAAGATTTAATTTTTTACTCTCAAAATAATATCAAAATCAAAAATTAATATAATATTATAATTTAAATCAAAATCAACTTTGTATAGTCAAAAAAATAAAATCAAGTAAGAGAAAGAGTATTAGTATAATTAGAAAAGGAATTTTATAAAAAGATTATTATTATTATAATAATAAGCTTTTTAATTATATTTTTCAAATAATTTAATCCAAAACTATTTATTTTAATTGGGATAGCAGATTCTTTTATACATTTTTAAATATATAAATTATTATATTATTACTAATTAATACTATTTAAATATATATATTATTATAAAAAACTATAAATTAAAGTACTAATAGTTTAAATATTAATATTAAAAATATAGATATCAAAAGATATTGAAAGATATTTGAAATATCAATATTAAAAAATATTTGAAATATTAATATTAAATAATATTTGAAATATTAATATTAAAAGATTTTTGAAATATTAATATTGAAAAATATTTAAAATATTAATATTAAAAGATGTTTTATTATTTTATCAAATATTTAAAAAGAGTCTTTAAATATACTATTATAGTAATATATAAATTATATATAATAAATAAATTGAAAATATAAATCTTAAATAAAGAAAATAATATATAATATCTAAAATATAATATCTAAAAATAGAAATATAATTATAAAAAGTAATAATAAGAAAAATAAGAATAATTATAGAATAAAGTATAAAATTATAAAAATATGAAACTTCACATAATCAAAAAAAGATTATAGAATTAAGAAATTTTATGTTACTATAATAATATTACTATTAATTTATAATATTAAAACTTTAAATTATACAAGCAGATTATTTTAGATCTCATAAATATATATTTCAAATTTTATAAAAATTGAATCAGTAATTATAAAGATATTAAGATTCAAAATTAATTAATTAAATTATTTACTATATAATTTTTATATTAATTTTAATTAAATTTTATATAATAAAATTTAAGAAATAATAAAAAAAATTTTATTAGTAAAAATTTTTTATAAGATATATAATAAAAATTTTTATATTTAAATAAATATCAATCTAATAACTTATTAAATAAAACAGAATTAAATTTTATTTTGAAAAAATATTCTATTAATATTTATCTGAGATATAAATCTTTTTATATTAATATATATATATAATTAATAGTTATATATATATATATAAAAATAAAAAATAATAATTAAGTAAAATTCTAAAATAAAAGATTTTTTATAATAATTCTAATAATATATAACTAATTTATTATATTATAAAATATTAAATAAAAAATAATATATAGTATTTAAAAATATAAATAAAATATTTTATTGATTAGATAATAAAAATATTATTATAATTATTATAATACAAGTATTTTAATATAAATTATATTAAATATAAAATATTAAAATAAATAATTTTATTTATTATAAAATTTATTATAAATTTATTAAATAAAATATTATTAATCTTAAAAAGTAGTTTATATTTAAAATTTATTCTAAATATTTTTATTTATGATTAAAAATTAGTTATTATAATAAAATTTTAAGTTATTTAAAGTTTTGAATTCATAATTTAACTTTTATAATTAAGATTAATTAATTGTAGCAGATTAAAATGAATTCAGATTAAAATGAATTCTGGATCTTTTTTTGTATATATCATTTTGTGCATA